TGTCATGGCATCATCAAGCAAAGCGTATTTTTGACGCATCTTTAAAAGATTTAAGCCTCAAAATGACAAGATGGCCAGCAGCAAGAGACTCTTGTGGTCATTGGTAAGAGCTTGTCAGATTCAGGATTTTAGATTTTTGTCTCGTTTCCTTGAACTTTTCAGCGACACCATGGCCGGACTTTTGAGCGGCTCTCACTTTGTCAACAGAATGTGGATAAAGACGCGTTCCAACAGAGTGCGGAGACATGTTGCCAAAGAAAGGACAGAAAAATCACCTTCCTTTGAATGAATATCTAGAGGTTAAACGGAACCAAGATGCTCTCCTTGTGTCTGTCGTTGACCGTGAAAGAGTTTACGAAAAGGCAAGCAAATTATAGCGACTTAAGTTAAAGGTTAACAACATTGGATGTCAATTAATACGTGAATCTCCTGACCCTGCACGCATACATCTTCAAATGTTGTTAAGAGAAATACAATATAACTCGGAAAGCAGTTAAAGTGCCTTTTACCTCTAAATATGCCAAAATGAGCAATTCTTTTGAAAATTTTCACAAAATGCCCCATTTTTCTTTGATTTCAGTGAAACTCAGCTTATACTGTTATGGGGTTTTAGGCAAAACTGGTGATTGAAGATCATGAACAAAAATGTGAAAGAAAAGGTCAGTACCTCCAACTCATATATACTCTTTTGAATATTATATCCTTAGAGAAATTAAGCTTTTTTATTCCATGCGAACAGTTTATCAATACAGTGACTTATGATTTACTCTGGCTGTAAAGTTATGCATTGAAGTGAAACTAAAGATTTGCATGGTCAAAGCTTTTTGTCTTCTTCAGATCTCTGTTACAGACAACCTTGTGGATGGGAAGACCCAACATTGTGGAGGACCCGCTCTCCAACAATTTTGGGAGATGATGGGAAGATCTCTGGCCCTGGCCATACCACTAGACAAAGGAGGCTGCAGACATTAAATGCTGCAAAAATGTTGCATGGAGCCACTGCTGAGAATATGACACCAGCATATGCAGGTCTCATGGCAGTTTTCAATGAAAGTGCTCCAGTGTCAGTATTGAGTGATGCAATGATAAAATGTGTTACGTTCACAAAGAAAGTTATTCCTAAAATTGTAAAACAAGATAAATACTTTTCAGAAAAGTCAAACAAATTTTATTAGAATTGTAAATATTTTGTACAGGGGTGGCATTGCAGGCAAGCAGAAGTATAATTCAATAAGGTCATCATTAACAATGTGCTTAGATCATGCTGGTACTCTTTGCCAATCGCTTCATCCCAGCTTAACTTTGTGTGACATAGATCCTGCAGCATTGACTTTCCGACCAATTAAAGGGTGCTGCTATTCCCAGGGGGTCGTAAACGGAAGATATCACGACAATATTACTGTAAAAGCCCACAGATAAGCCACACTTATTTTCCAAAAATCGTCGCTAGAAATTGAGGGTGCGGCTTATCTGCGGAAACATTTGAAACAGTGTTGTGAATGTCCATTTCACATTCCATCTAATGCCTGGTTACTAAGCTTGGAATGTTCTGCTCAAGTTCTTGTTGTAATGCAAAAATCTATGGAAAAACTGTGTTGAATGAAGAAATTCCTGTCAACAAATACCAGAAAAAGACCAATCATATGTCAAAGTTGGTAGAAATGACATTCATGATATTAAAGTACTAAAATTATGGGTAACATTCTGTAACAGCACCCGTGCGCCTCAATTTCCGCGGTATTTTTAGTTTCTTTTTTTAGCTTTTACCACATTTTACGTCACAATGACTCTCCGCTAGTTATCACCTGACTCTACCTTATATACTGCAAACACTTGTGTAATTTCCATAAGGCTCACAGAAATTCCACGGGCAACTTGAAACAACTTTGAGTTACATCAGGGAACCTCCGACTGTTGCTGTTTAACTCAGAACCTTCAAGAGCGTTTGCCCCAACACGTCCTACCAAACAGGTTACTGTAAAAGTTGGCACAGCCTTGTGGAAACTGTGAGGCGTTAGTTTTCTTAGTTTCATGGATCTCTTTGCCAAAGGAGCTGATGCCGCTACACACTCTGAAGTATTTTCCATTGCAATGCTAATGATGAATTTACGTTTGATGAACAGTGGATGAACAAGACTTCTCTGGACTCGACTTTGGATTTCTTTTGATTTCTATCAAAAAATATTTTTCCAAGATTTGACTCGCTAAATTCGGGGTGCAGCTTATCTGTGGGGGCGGCTTACCTGCGGGTGCAGCTTATCTGCAGGTGCGGCTTATCTGCGGGTGCGGTTTATCTCCGGGTGCGGTTTATCTGCGGGTGCAGCTCATCCGTGGGCTTTTACAGTATATTGTTGAGAGTCTGAAACCTGATGAAGATCAGAATGTTCACACTTTCAAGTTCCATGTTTTTGCCCACACAGGTTTGAAGCTAAGAGATTCAGTCTCTCTTTTTAGTAGGGTCTCACTGTAAAGTGAGCAGGTTCAAAGTCTCAATCAGGTTTGTTCCAACTGTTTCAAAGCTATTGCACTCTTTCTTAAAAGTACCCCTACTTTCTGGACAATTGGCCACATAGTGCCTATGCATACCCAGCAACTCCAGGTAACACTAGGTTTGGGCTTACC